AAGCTATATCCACCCAGTAGAATGCAATCATCAAAATATGGATAAGAATAAATATAGAATAAAAATAATTAGTGTTATGTCTATTGATTATAGAATAAAAATAATTAATATTATGTCTATTGATTATATTATAGAAATTGTTGTTATTATATATATATATATATTTATATTTTTTTTTTCCCTTCCTTTTTTCCTTTCAAATTTGGCAAATTTATATATAACTTCAAATTAAGATTAATTATACTGTTGCTAAATCAATTATAATATTGTTCACAACATTTTTTATCTTTTTATAAGCCCAACTAAACTACTAGTTGTTATTAATTAGTAAACACATTTGATCTTGAGCTTTTTTTCTCATTCTGTAGCATTTTGATAATATGAGATTTTCATTTTTTAAGTTTTCATGCTGTACTGAGTCCAATTCCAATGATGTATTACCAAACTCTACCATTTGATCTTCCTATGAATTTGATATATTATTCTTCTTTGATTGTTGTTTATTCTGTTTTAATTGCTTAATCTGTTGATGAGGGGATTTGAAATAATGATCCATATTTTCAGATTCATTTAATTTGTTTTTTTTCCAATATTTTTAGCCTTTTCCCATGCATTAGTAGCATTACATCTAGGCAATCAAATTAGTTCCTTAAAGTGAATAATGAAGGAATCCAGAAGTGAGACCAAAAATAGAATGTTTTTTGACTCTAAAAATCCAAATATTTGTTTTGATATTTTGGAAAATTAGTGTTAATCTTAGCTTTCAAGGCAAGTGAGCAAAAATCAAAAAATTTTTTGTTATCATGCTGTGTTTCTAAAACTCCGCATGAGCCGAGCCGGCTCGTGAGCTGGCTCGAGCTTTTTTTTAAGCTGAGCCGAACTGAGCCATGATTAAATTGGCTCAGTGGCTCGTGAGTCAGCTCGAAAAGAGCTCGAGCCGGTAATAGGCTTAGCTCAAAAAGCTCAAGCCGGTAATAAGCTCGGCTCAAAAGGTTCAAGCTGGCTTGTAAGTTATCATACAAAAAATGTTGCGAAACGTTTTTGTATTATAATATATTAAAAAAACGTTTCGCAACGTTTTTTTTCGATATTCTAATAAAAAACGGTGTGAAACGTTTTTTCGTAATAATATATTTAAGAAAAAAACGTTTCGCAACGTTTTTTTTTGATATTTTAATAAAAAATGTTGCGAAAACGTTTTTTCAAAATATTATATTTAAAAAAAATGTTTCACAACGGTTTTCGATATTTTTAATAAATAAACGTTGCGAAAACGTTTTTTTCAAAGTATTATGTTAGAAAAAAACGTTTCGCAACATTTTTTTTCAATGTTTTAATTAAAAAACGTTGCGAAAACGTTTTTCTTAATAATATATTTAAAAAAAAACGTTTCGCAACGTTTTTTTTCAATATTTTAATAAAAAATGTTGCGAAACGTTTTTCTGAAGATAAAGCTCGAGCCTAGCTTGGCTCGAGCCAGGTTAGCTCGAGCCGAAATTTTTTATGGCTCGGCTCATTCCGGCTCAGGCCAGAATTTTTTTTTCGAGCCAAGCCGAGCCAGACTGTGGCTCAGCTCAAGCTGGCTCGTGCGGAGCTTTATGTGTTTCTAGTATCTGGTTTAATTTCTTATTTATGATCTTAGGTGTATCCTCTGTAATATTTCGGGTGAAACTGTTTTTTGATTGGTGAAATGCCGAAACTGAAACTTAAAAAAGGTGAAACTATTCCAAAACTGGCAAAACCTGGCGAAATTTGCCCAAACTTCCGAAATTGGCGAAACTTGGCGAAATTTCCGTAACTTGGCGAAACCTCAATTATATTAAAATTTAATGTATATAGGTAAAAAAAATGAAAATAAAACAAATATTTTATTATTAAACGCTTTATCTTTTAACTTAAATCGGAAAACTATTAATATTTAACGTTATTTTTATTTATGATAATTTATTTGTTTTGTTTTATTTATTATATAGAAGTGGAAATGAACTACGTGCATTTATTTATTGGTTAAAGACGGTTAAATGACGAGGAGCGAGGAATAAGTCATGTGACCTGTGATTTCCATATGACTGGCAAATTAACAAGGAAATGCAACTATTAAAACATTACTTTATTTATAATTAAAATTTTTTGAAATTTACATATTATTTATATACTATTTATATTGAAAAAACAATGAAAATAAAATAGTATACGCGCGTTATGTTTTCTTTTACATCTTGGATACGAATAATTATCTTTCAAATTACAGCCAATTAAAGTTTAACACATGACTTTTTTAATTTCGCCAGGTTTCAGACATTTTGCCAGGTTTCGGAAGTTTTGCCAGGTTTCAGAAGTATCGCCAGTTTCGGAATTTGACACCTTTAGCGAAACCAGTTTCGCCAAGTTTCAGAAGTTTCGCCAGAAAGTGAGTTTCGGTTTCGCCCGAAACACTAATCCTCTGTTATATTACTCCATTTTTGGATTATAAAAATCACATCATTTTGTATTCTGCTTTTGATTATAAGTCATAAGTTCTTATTGGCCTTACATTCAATAAAATGGTATCTGTTTTCTTCTTTGTTAGCATTGCACCTTGGACAGACAAACTCTTTATATAGATTTGGTTTTCGCTGTAGTAGAATAGTACCTATAGGAAGAAGTTTAGCAAATAGTTTAACAATAAATATTAAGTGCCAATATTTTTTAACTAAAATACAATTAAACCCTTTATATCTATGAATTAAGTTTCAAATTATATTTCAATCAATTGGAATTTCATGTCCATTTGATTTTAGTATTGACCATTCTGCTGCCACTTTAGTATTCATTAGAGTTTTAATAAATTTCCTTAAGTTGTATTCAATGGGGATCTGTTTAAAAATTGGAAAAAATCTGACTTTCCTATTGCTATAGTTAAATTTATTGTTAAAGTAACAGCTGTTGTTACTTGTGTTTTTAGCTAATTTATCTACCATTTCATTCATAACATTTCCACTGTTTCTCTTAACTTTTACTAACATTAGATCCATCTTTTTTTCCTGTAAAAGAATATCTATCTTAAGTAAAATTAAAGAATTAGACTATTTCAGTAATTTTCTACCTGATTTATTATATTTATTATTAATCATATAGATGCCACTTTGACTGTCTGTATATATCTTAATTTTTGCATTCATAGGACTTGTGAGTAATGCCAGAAAAATAGCCACTAGTTCTGCACATGTAGATGAGGGCCATAATGATAAATTTGCTTGGGCAGATAAGGCAGGTTCATCATTGACACAGAATGCTGCACCTATTTTTGTGTTCACTAAATTGGGATCTTGTATTAAAAAAAAGGAATTTAATTACATTTAATATAAATATTAAATATAAATAAATTTACTTTTCCATTTTCAAATCTATTTGAAGTATCCTGAAAATCCTCTAATTTATTTAACAAAATATTGTATATAGGAATCATATATAACAGTGTTGGATATGCTTTCCCACAAATTTGCTTTGTTGCTTTAGCAAAATACTAAAAAATAAAAATTTTTAATAAAACTATAAAAATACATAATTATATATA